AACTAACTAACTAACTAACTAACTAACTAACTAACTAACTAACTAACTAACAGTAGAAGGCAGGTTTCATTTTTTGAGCCAATACAGTTTTTACAACTTCATTTTGTGGATCTACAGAAATTATTAATCTGTTTTAAAATGATTTATAAAACAAACGAACAAAAAAAAAGTTTTCTTCATGCAATACATGAATGCAGTGGTTCCCAACCCTGGTCCCTGAGGAACACCATCCTGCATGTTTTAGTTGTTCCTCTGCTCCAACACACCTGATTTGAATGAAAGGGTCATTAACAGGTTTCTGCCGAACTTAAGGAAGTAATTAAACCACTGAATCAGGTGTGATGGAACAGAGAAACAACTAAAACATGTAGGATGGTGTTCCTCAAGGACCAGGGTTGGGAACCACTGCATTCATGGAACAGTCTGTGCACATATGAACGAAGCTTTCACAACAAAATTAAGCTTTGGAGCAAAAAGTAGAGGCTGTAAGTATAAAACCTTTAAAGCATAGCAATACTTTTACAAAGCAGAAGTTTGTTTACTTCTGAGTTAAATTTTAAAATATAAAATGTAAATGTGATGCCAGTGACTTAGAATTTCTTTAAACCTGGATGTGGTGGATTTGGACTCTGTAGGTTTTCTGTCGAGGTGAGACGCTGTATTCAACCTTCACTCCGGGCAGGAAGTGCCTCCTAAGAGGAGCTTCCGTTGGCTGAATCATTTGCATATTTGCACCATTAGTTGTAAATAACACCTGAGAAACAAACAAAATAAAAACATCATGAAGTTTAACATTTACACTAGAAGATGATTAAAAAAAACTAGTTTAATTCTTACCAACTTCAAACAACTGACCAAGTGATTTTATCTTTTAATAATGAACATATATATATATATTTTATATATATATATATATATATAAAATGGTGCACAACCTGAAAGTTGTTCTGCAGTTCAACAGTGACATCGTCATTGGGCCCAGAGTCGATGTACTCCCTGAACTTGCTCTCCAGCATCTCAGTTTCTTTAGTGCTCAGAGTTTTCCATCGATTCTTCTTCTTAGGCTTAAACTCCCAAACCACATCAGAGCTTACAGAGACACGAGAGGAAAAAAATTAAGCAGGTTCAGTTTCGTAAAGCCGGGAATAAATGACTCGTAGTTACAAAGATAAATAAATATTTAACATGGCTGTTTTCCTTCTCTCATTTTGAAAGTTAAGGTGGCATGACTGAATAAATGACGGCTGGTGCATCACTTATTCACACATAGTTGAGGGACGATTAAAATTACAAAACTTTCAGCTGAACAAGTATAATATGTACAACAAACACCAAGTTTTAGTTGCAAATCTGCACCTTGTGATTCCAATATAGGAAACCTCTTGGCTGTTGGTGTTGTTAACCAGAGACACGCCCATGCTCTGTAGTGACAGGATGATTTCCTGTTCAGCCCGCTGCACCTTTTCATTGTCGCACAGCAGTTTGTAGATCTGTTGATCCTCGGTGAACAGCACAACACGCTGGAGACCTTTGTATCAACAACAACAAACAGCTCAAATAATTGGACCAATAAAACACAGCCTTAAGGAACTTAACGATGAACACAAGTTAGAACTGACTGACTTGTCATCAGGTCAGAAACAAGTTTTGTAAATGTTAGTACGGCCGTGTTCTTGGAATATGGCCTTGCACGAGATCAAAACAAACTAGAAACTGTGAACATCATTTTATGTCAGCATAAAAAGAAAGAATCCAGGACATGTCAAGATTCTTCAACTTTACCTTCAAAAAAAGAAATCACAAAAAGTTTTCCTTCTTTGTTCAGGTCTTCTCTCAGGTCCTAGATATGTCAAAGCAGATGTCAAATAGTTAATATATAAAAAAATTATTCAGCCTGTTACAAAATCCTAAAGAACTAGCTTCAGCTACAGAACACCTGTTTTGTTTAACTAATGTAATGTCCTGAAGAAAAGATCAGTGTAAGAAAATAACCCGAGCTTTGATGTAAAAATCTCACAGTTTTTTATAATAACTCAGGTAAAGTACCTCTTCATTCTTCAGCTTCCCGCTGTAATTGCCACACTTCCAGCAAAGCTCTCGGGACCCAGTGGGCTCAGTCCAGGTGTAGTGCACAGCTTTCCCAGCCTCCAGCTCCTCTGACTCTGTCTCCATCTGAGAGCTAAATGGCACACAAACAGTTTCAGCACCCTTAGAACTGAAACATTGTTGAAAACAAGACGAGGAGGAAAATACTGTAAATAGAAAATAACAGTAAAGCAGAAGACATTACAGAACCCATCTACCCAAAATACAACAGCAAGTCAACGGTCTTAAAAAACAACAACAACACAAAACCTGTCTTTTTAAATAAAAGAGCAGCTAAAAGAGAAATATGACAGAACATGAGCGTACACCAGCAGCACACGAGACATTCCCATTGTCTTTCTTTTGTTAGATGCAGGTCCAGCTCACACTCGGACTAATCTTCATTTCGACAGAAACAAAGCACACATAGGAAAATGAAATACGGCAGCCACTCTACAAATGGAGAGATGAAAAGTTAAGGAGGCCTCAACGCAACATTTCTAACCGCAGCAGAAATGTTGGAAAGAGAAAGAGCATCTTTGGCAGAATCCCATCAAGTCGGCGGCAGCAAGTTATTTCTACAAGCAAAGAAAATAAATTACAGAGGCCTAACTTTAAAAGTTGTAGATGTGTAACCTGCGCCTTTTAAAATATTCAAATTATAAAACAAGATGAGGATAATATAGTAGCTAGTGCAACATACTGTGCAGGAAAAAGCAAAAGAGCTGTATGTTGCTGTAGAGAAGGGAGCAGATTACACAAACTACACAGAACTGACCACACTCGGCACTCAAACCTACGGTGTCCCCTCTAAGCTGCAGTGACTTTTGTTGGTACATAGATTTATATTTCCTTGATTTATTGTGTGAACGCTCATGAAGCATTCACTCTATTGTGATCAGTTTTTCAGCATCTTCCTCGTTCTGCAGTTTTCAAGCTATTTCAACTAATAATTTCTCAAAAGGTTCAGCTCTTTCAGGACAATCCTGCTATGACTTTTGGTATTGGTGCAACTTTAGCTTTTTGAAATATTTAGCCTTTTCTGCCATTTATTTTTACTCATAGAAAAAGAACTGGGCTCATTTTACATCCTTCAAATCTTTAGATACGTTTTCAACCTTTTACTGCTCCTTTCACATTTTGTTCTGGTTCAGCTTCTTTTAGCTTCCTTGTGCAAACTAAAAAAAAAAAACTTCAACTATTTTCAGCTCATTTCAACTGTTCTGTGCTCCTTTCAGATTATTTCTTCTAACTACCAGTACAACATGTTTATACTTCTTCTAACTTGTTTCTGCTAATTTCAGCTTGTTATGTTCCTTTCAGCTTATTTCTGCAAGTTTCAACATTTTTTTTGTTGCAATTACAGCTAAAGTATAGCTGTTTTTATGCTGATTTAAGACTTTTCAGCTAATTACACATTTTTTTTGCACTCATTTCAACTTTTTCCAGACAAATTCAAGAAAAATGTATTCTCTCCACTTCCTTCTTGTAATTTTAGCTTCTTTATGCTTTGTAGCTACTTTTCAGCTGTTTTTTTTGTTGATTTTTTGCTCATTTAAATTTTTTCAGATAATTTCCAGTTTTTGTACTCAACTTTGCTTCACTCTGCCTAATTGTGCAAATGTATTCTTGCTGCTTTCTTCTGCTAATTGAAGCTTGTTCTACCTTTTCAGCTAGCTTTTTAGCATTTTGCTCATTTCAGCTTAATACAAGTTTTTGTGGTAATTTTTGCTACTTTCAGCCTAATTATCTTCTTTATGCTAATTTCAGCTAGTTATGCTCCTTTTAGCTTGTTTTTGCTTGTTTCAGCTTTTTCCTGCTAGTTCAGTTTCAATTTAGTTGTTTCCATGCTACTTTTAGCTTTTCCAGCTCATTCCACATTTTTAGCTTATTTCAGCTCTTTCTGCTTCCGTCTTGTTGTTTAAGCGTCTTTCTGACTTTTCAGCTAATTTTCTGCTTCTTTTTTGTGCTAATTTCAGTGTTTTTTAGCTAATTTCCTAATTTTTGTGCTCATTTCTGCTTATTTAAACCTAATTCAGAAAACATGTTCTTTCTGATTTATTTGGTTAAATTAGGCTTGTTCTTCCATTTCAGCTACATTTCAGGATGATTTTTTAGCTAATTTCAGCTATTTTTCAGCAAGTTTTTAGCAATAAGCATTCATTTTGCATTTTCGCAGGAAATACATTTTCTCTAGTTATTTGTGCATTTCTGTTCATAGTGCTTGAATCTTGGATGTGTTCCTTTTTCCAAATATTACTACTCCACAGTGTCCTCAGCTGCTTATTAAGTCTTCATAAACTGTTTCAATCCTTTAACCTGTTACTGTAGTTTTTATTCAAAACAAGTACATGTGATTTGTTTTTATGGTTTCTGCATAAATTTATTTTACATATGTGTTACACATGTGTATTATATTACAGATGTGTATTTATGTTTACTTTTGAGTACCTTTAACCTTTGTAAATTAAATGTTATAATTTTTATTTGCCTTAATTTGATTGCTTCTATGTAAATCAGGTGTCATGTGTTGTAGTTAACAACTTTTAAGTAGATTAATTTTTTACAGATTTGCTATTATTTCCTGCTTCCGTTCGTTATTCCAGAGTTTAATCCTGAGTTCAGAGTGTGTCAGAAGAGTTTCTACATTTCAGATTTTCTACCTGTCCTCCTCCGACGAGAAGGAAAGGTCGAGCAGCTCTTCAGCCAACCATGTGGCTTCCTTTCGAACACTGGGTGACCCACACAACACACAAACACAAATTGGTATCGGGGGAAACAGAGACACTGTTAGTTGTTATTTACAAAGTTGTTTAGGGCTGCCACAAAAACATAAAAGTTTTGTTACTCCAACATGTTATAGCATAAACGCAATGCAAATGCAAGATCCTACAACTGTGGTCTTTGGTGAGCAAGGTGAAAAGACTTCAGTCACACACACACACACACAAACATTAACAAGAGAAACCTGGGGTTCAGGTGAAAGAGCCATCATCCATCAGTCAAAAGCTCTGAAGTTCAGTCTCCCAAAGCTGCACTCCTTGGTGTGCACCGAATAACGAGCACTGCATAACGTTTGTGAATGGCTGAATAAAAGTCCTTACAAAGTGACTTCTTGAACCTTGAAGGTTTAAAAGGCCTCTTTATTCTCTTTTCTGTTGACCTGTTTTTTACTTTCCACTCAAGAAGGTGGACATGCTCTGATTTATGTGGCTTTAATATCAACACAAGAAGCCTCATCTACTACTCTGGAAAAAAAAGGGCACAACTTTGTGGATTAGGTACGACCTCCTGTGAGCAGAGACAGCGTTTTCAGCACAACATCCACAGACTGTGAGATACATGTGACAACATCAGCTATGGGACAAAATCCAGACCAAAAGGTCCACATGGACTCATCGTCTCTGTCAAAAAACAGCTTTAACCCTCAAAGCACCTTAGGGGCTAAAACACGTCCATTCTTTGTTCTAGTCAGTTTAAAGACTAATTTCATTAAACTTGGCCAGGATTTGTTTTAAAAAAAAATTTTCATGACCCCCTCTATCGCAAGGTGTATTGAATAGATCTGCATAACGCATTCACTCTTTACCCTAAGGCTCGATTTGGTCCCAATGACTCCCATTAGAACCACTTATTGTTGATGTATTGTAATATTGAAATAATGTTTTTTTTCATGAATACGTAATAAATCTAAGCCTCTACCTTCAAATGTATGAAATTAATGTATTCTTAGTTTAGCGTATTTCTTAGATCATGTCTTGTATCTTATTACTGTTTTTCTTTACAATTTGTATTTTTGTTGGATGTAACTGGGACCATGTGTACATAGTTTCGTTCCATCTCATGTACCACATGTGAATGACAATAAAGAACCTTGAATCCTTGAAAAGAAATGGAACACAGGTTTTAGGTAGGATGACCTCCCCTAACCCCCCAGGGGCAGCACACCTTCATTACATAAGAACTTCATCTGAGGCCTGGTTCTCTTATCTTGCAAAATGCATGGAGGTTCAAAAATGGTCTCAGTGTGTTAGGATCAATATTAAAGAGTGGTGTGAATGTTGCTGAGAAGTGTGTGAGTGAAATTTAAGTAGTCAAAAGCCAAATGGACGCTGTTTATATTTTTTTCTTGATCAGGAGAGAGCCTCCTTCCTCCAGTTGGATACATGGCATAACTTGTTTACACAGGTTCATGTTTTGAAGTATACTGGCTGCTCATTTCTCCAGCAGACAGCCATGAGAAGCCTGGCAGTAGAGGAAGTAAGTTAACAGGTCTCTGTTGTAAATGAGTCCTCGTGGCTCAATGAGACTAATCTATATAAACAAAGGTTGAATGAATGAATGCTAGCTGTAATTTTGCAGTCCTCTGAGAAGAGTGAGCAAGATGAGGAAGATGTTACTGGTAGTGAAGATTCCTCTGAGGGTCAAGGGAGGAATTCCTGCCAGTCACAGACAGGCCTTGTCAAATATTCCATTTTGCCCCTCATTTTTTTAAATGTTGCATAGTTTGTGTTAAATCAAGGGTTTTTATGACAAAAATGGTATAAAAATGTAAAAAATATGAAGAAATTTGTTTTTTTATCTACAGTTGGGTTTGAAGTTGTTGAACAGATGTGATGCAGTGGAAGTAAAAAAATAAAATGTATACATGACATTTTTATTACTTTTGTGAGTTTTTAGTACTAGATACATTTTCAAAGTAAAAGACTGCAGTGAACGTATGCAAAAGTAAAAACTATTTCATGAAACCAGTTCAGCCATTTTCAACAAATGTGTGGTGATTATGTAAAATCACAATGAGCAAGTTTATTTTATTGTTTTGGATAAAAAAAGATTCCATCTTATCGTGTTAGAATGGTGACATATGATGATAACTTAAAATGTTTGTTCTCATTCTACACAGTCTGTTTTCTTACCTCTGACTGAACTGAAGAGTGTGATCTTTGGTGTGATTGATGATGAGGAAGGGGGCTGCACCATCATGGTACTCAGAGAATCGGATTGTGGCTGAATGCTCCGATAGATTCACATCTACAATAATGCCACCCACCTACAATACAAAAAAATACAAAAATAAACAAACATCAAAATATTTAAAACAGAAGGGCTCAAGTTCTTTGATTAACAAGTGTCCCTATGTGTGTGTCTACTCACAGATTTGTCTAAATGAAGCAGCAGGCAGTTCTCAGGTCGTGTGAAGTCAATAGTCTGAGGAGGCGCTAAACATCCTTCAACTTTGATCTTTAGCCTCTTGGTGTCGTTCTCAGGCCAGAATGGAACAGCAGACTAAAAATCAATAAAACAACCCAGGAGTAAACATAACTAGCTGTTACTTATTGGAAAATAAGTTTCAAACCGAATTCTGATTAACTGAGCAGATCATAGAATAAGTTGTTAAATCAGCTGTTGCATAGTTGTTACATGTTTGGGATCTCACAATAAAGTTGTGGACTTTTAAGTTTATATTCATGAAAGGACTACAATCCTAACAGCTGCTACATAAAAATGTAGAGATTATAGTTGTTAACTTAATAAACTTAAATTGCAGCAGCTTACAAATCAGAGGGATGGATATGCCTTTAGAACACGAATATAAAACATAAGTTGGACTCATTTGCTAAAGTTTATGAATGATTTTGAATGAGTTTGGCAGAAGAGGTGACCTACGACCCATCCCCGCTCCATAACCATTCCTTTTATACAAAATCCTGACACCCACATGAGTTGTCAAATAGTTTGCAGATTGTGAAAATTATTCTTTGTAAAATACAGAAACCTATTATTACTTTTTTACCAACACCAAAGTCTGTATTTGTTTTTTTCATTCAATCTTTATTTATACAGGTTAGTCTCATTGAGTCACGAGGACTCATTTTCAAGAGAGACCTGTTTATTTTATTATTTATAAATGCGATGAAACTGTTGGGGTAAATAAAATAGAGATTGGTTTCCTCTGTACTTGTTTCTGTTAAATAAAGGTTAAACAATAAATTTAAGATGTAAAGTTTTGTTACATTTCAGAAAACGTTTCAGCTTTTGAGGAAGAAGAACGGATGAACGAGCACTTGACTTGTTTCGGTCAAGCTAAACAGAATTCACATATTTTACCATCTTCATCGGATTAGATTATTAAACAAGTGCCAGAACATATATTGTGCATGCACAGTACTCTGTTTAGACCGGACCTGTTCTGGCTCTGCCGCAGTCCAGCTTTCTTGCCCTTCCTCACATATGAAGACCCGGTGCTTGGTTCTGTTGACCAGCGTGTAAAACGGTACGAAGGTCACGATGCGAGTGAGACTGAAACTGCTCGCCTCGATCTTCACGCCAACCTGGGAGCAGAAATCAAAAAACACAACAACATACTTCCAACCTGTTTTATACACAGACAAGTCTTTTAAGTTCTTATGTGAAATGTTAGATTTTACGTATGAATAATTATTAGGAGGGCAGCTTATGCTATAAAGTCTTACCAGGTAATCTTTGTATCTGCCTTTACACTTCATATCTCCATGACTGCCAACTGTGTCCAGAGAGAAATCATCTGATAGGTCACTGTCTGAGATCATCAGTCTAACCTGCAGGTAGACAAAAACCCTTAGAGAAAGCCAAACAATCCGTTTTAGTGTAGTAAAAGTGGGACTGTAGTTTTTAGTGTTCTGAATTTAAGCGAAAATATCTAAAAATGTTTATGTCTTAATAAAAAAAGGCAGATAGCTTTCAAATGTTTGTTTTATTGCAGCTCTATTTAACGTGGACATAAGGAATCAAAGAAAAACAATTTGACAAGTGAAGGGTCAAACTGCGTGAGAATATAAACAAACAAACGCAGTAAATGTGCTGAACTTTGACTTAAAACCTTTTTCTTCTTACCTTGTTGTTTCGCAAAAAGTTGCGAGGCTTGAAGGAGAAAAGCAGGGGCATGTCGTAATCTAAGGGGTGTTTACGGTGGATATCGTCGGCCTTGTACTGCAGCAACCTGCCCGTTTTATTCACCATCCAGTACGGAGAGTGGATGGCAATAACAGTTTGTCCTGGATCATATTTAACATGAACTGCTATGTCCAACTCAGCCCTCTTCCTCTCTGTCCCTTCTCCAAGTTCTTCATCATCCACGTGTAGAGACTGGAACATGATGAAGGTGATTTCCTCCTGGTCACTCTGGAGGCTGTAAAACCAGATTATTTATATCCTGATACATGCTCAAGATTATTTATCCTATTCTATCCTGAAAGGTAAATGAATTAACCATCCTGACTAAATTGTAGCAAAATAACAGAGTATAAAAAGAATTAAAAATATTTAAGATGAAAGTTATACCTGTATTCAGAAGACCAGTCCTGAGCCAAATAATCCACCAGGCGAAGATCGAGTTTTGACTGATTGATGACAGCAGTGTGAAGCTGAGCAGAGTGGCCTGGATTCAGAGTGACTTCAGGGGCAGAAACTCCATTTTCCTGTTAACCCACAGCCAGCGTAAAACAATAAGTTTGAGGGAAAGACTCAAAAAAGAAAGTGCTGCCATGAAACAAGCACTGCTTCAATTGAAGTTTGGGATGTGCTGTGTTACAGAAAAGTGTCAGAAATTCAATGTTGTAAGGTACTGTACTACTACTTTCAGTTTATTGTTCTCCAGTTTTGAATGAAGCCGTTACTGACATACAGGAGACAAAAAAAAACCCCTCCTACATTAACATTGTTTTTTGAAGAAAAGCAATAAGCAGTGTGTTGTTAAATGTCCCATTTTTGTAAACCGACTGCACGACTTTCAGGAAATGACCTTCATAGTGGCAAGTTAGAGAATCAAAACGTAACTTTATGGAGAGCTAAGGAGCTTCGTTCGTTTATTATATACAGTCTATGGCTGTTACATACAAACCTATATGTTTTTTTTTTGTAAATTGACCTAATTGGCGATTACCATGCACATCTCACCTTTAGTTTGTAGGCAATGGGATGAGGCAAAAGGTTGCGCAGCAACACAGAAGGCCAGAGGTGCAACACAAAGGGCATGTCAAAGAGGTCCCCATTGCCTATAGTGTGTTTGAACGTCACAGCTTCCTTTAATGGCACAAACTTGATCGTCATCCCACCATGCTGTTCCCCACGGCGACGGCAGGTCTGCTTCAGCCCTATTCCAGGTTGTAGGTTGCTGACATCCTCGTAACTAAAGCCCTCTGACATCTCAAACTGATGAGCGTCAGCTCCGTCATCTATTACAGGCTGCAGGCTCAGTTCAGACCTGAGGAGGACAGCAAGGAGCAGGAAAAATTCTGGAGCAGTTTAAGTAAGAAACAAACAACAACAACAAAAAAACTGTAACATTAGTGTATCTGGCTCCCCCGCTTGGCCTTAAATTGACCAACTATCTCAAACTCTCCTGGATGTTATGTGAAAGCTCTGCTCCACCCCTCCCCTACCCACTCCCTTCTCGAGGACATCCGTGGATCTGTGTCAGAGCTGAGCCGGCTGATAAGACACTGCACCATCTCTTATCAGGACTATGGAACTATTTGGCAATGTCCACGGACAACTCACCGCCTTCATCGGCCTCCTCATGCATAAATGTATTATGATGTCATCAGTATGTTGCGGTTTCTGTGCTGAGGTCTTTTGTTGCAACTTTCACAATGTGTCCCGTCTAGGACACAATATGAGACAACTTTTTTTTTTATATCTCCCTTCCCCTCGTGTTTCTCTTTTCCTTATCTAAATGAAAAGGGCAGCACCTCCTGAGGGAGCAGCCTCAGACACCTCCGTCTCCTCAATGTCTTTGTTTATGTTTTCTCGGCCAGGCTGTACTGAGATATAATTTTGTTGTGCTTGGTGCAATGACAATAAAGCTGATTCTGATTGTGTTTCCACTCACCTGTACGAATCCAGAGGCACACAAAACTCCTCATTCGGATCAGCTATACCCAGACATACTGATCCCTCCAAAACTTTAAACGGTATCAAGAAATGATTAATAATCTACAAAAGAAAAAAAGAAAAAATTATTTGGCAACGTGGACTTAAAGTTGTGTTTCAAAAACAGTTACATTAATTTAGGCGAGTTCAAAAACTTGAAGAAATGCTATAAAGTTATATTTTGTGCAACGCTGTCTGATGCTCAAAAACAATAAAAAAAAAATTAAAAAAAAATACAAAGAAAAAATATGTGTAAAATTATAATTGGTGTACTTGGAAAGGAGAGCGGATCTTGATGTACTTGCTGCCCTCCATAGAGGAAACTTGACAGACCAGGAAGCGAGTGACTCCTGAGTCTGTGTGCATGACGCTGTACAACCCTCTGCCCACTTTGACCAGGGGGATCACACTGGCTGATGTGTGGCCCTCTGGAGCTGAAAAAAGCAGAAGACACAGTCTGAAATATAGAATGGACATCAAAATAACATTTTTTCATACAACAAACTTTGACAGTTTAAAAAATGTATTTATATGAACTAGTTAATGATAAAGGAAGTGTAACATTAACTTACTGGGCTGTAAGTAGTAATCTTTTTCACTCAGGGAGATCATTGCTGAGAACTGATCAGAGTCTGTTTTAGTTAAATAGTCCATCTCGAAAGTTTCTCCAATCTGCAGCTTGACAGTGTGGTTGTTGGTGCTGTCCTTGTTGATTGGAGAAAACATCTCACTGTGGCGGACGGACACTGGAAGTCCCAGCATGTTTTTCACAACAAATGGAGCTTCATCTTTTTGAGAACACTCTGTGGTCTGTTTGGCAGCCTCTGCAAACGCCTGAGGAAAACCAGAAACACAATGATGACGTGCATCTCTTCACTCCTTTAAAGATGCACCTTCAGTAAAAACAAGCGTCTTACTGTGCCCAGGTTACTCAGCATGGTCAGCCCACATTTGGACAGTGTGATGTTGAGCTGGTCTTTACTCCGGATGAAAATCGCTGTCTTGTAGTCTGGGACATTGCCATCGATTTCATCTGATGAAACAGATGAGTTGACTGGCTTCTTTTTCATCTGATTAAGGAACAATAAACTGTTAGACATATTATAGTTATACTGTATGTGCATGTATAAGAACACTATGTGCAACTATTTCACACAACCTTCAACTCCAGTTTCCATGGTCTGAAACCTTCTCCTGTCTCGTCTTCTAAGGGTTCCACCAGTGGCTCCCACACCCCCAACATCTCATTATAATAATGCATCTAAAAACAAAGCATGGCACAACTTACAGATTCTACAGTAGCATGAGTTTATAAACAGTGGAAAAACTAGCATATGAAACAGAAAAAAGTACAGCTAGTGAAATATGGTTCTGTTTTTACCTCAAGGTTGAGCTCACTGTGTAAGTTAATGAGTGTGGACCAGTTTTTCACATCTCCATGAAAGGAGGACTTGGTCAGAAGCATGGGGACAGTGCGATGTCCCACTCCAGCCTCCAGAGTCAGACAAATTGAATTTATGGTAACCTGCAGCGACAGAAAGACAAAGACACGGGACAGCAAGCTGTATCAAGCAGAAAACCACTTCAAAAAAGATAAATAAAATGTGAAACTTTATGATAAACAAGTACTCATAAATCAGTTGTATATTATAATTTGAGGTTAAGCACTTTTAAGGACTCTCCCTGGGGAATCAGTGGGGTCAGTGACTTTGTGTCTTCATCCTCTTCCTCTTCCAAGAACCAAAGTTTGAGCTCCTTCCAGCCTCGTTTCTCCCAAAGATCCACATGAACAGGCCTGTCCTGCTCCTCGGGAGTCTCCGCTGTGGGGCTCAGTGCCGACTGGATGGTAATCACCGTGTTGATGATGACAGGGGACACCTGAGCAAAGAGTCACACAGGAGGTTGAAAGTTCAATTTTTTTTCTCAGCTAACTTTCTTAAACTGATGCCAAATGTAAAATAATAATAATAATTCAACAGATTTTCTAGTAAACTTGAAAGAGAGGTTGATGCTCACTAACAACGCAGCTGGTTTAAAACATTGTGCTTATCAAAAATAAAATGTCCAAGAAACATTTGGTTTTAAGAAGGACAATTCTGAAGGTGTGAAATAAACCAAACAAATACCTTCATTGAGAGAGTGTTGATGGAGACCTCCATAGCCTGAGGGGAAGTTGGGGACTGAGTACTGTTAAAGAACACCTGGCATGGTTGCAGAACAGTAGTCACATTGTTTTTCCTCTTCTCTCTTAAGAAGGGGCACGCCATAACCTACGATAATCAAAAAAAATAACCCAACATATTCTTAATAACTTTTTTTCTTTTCAAATTGTTTCAATGTTGAAGGTTTAAAATCTAAACCTTTAGCTCTTTGATGACTGCACTCATCTGTGACCCCTCGGCACTACTCTTCATTTGCAGCTCGCACTGTGTGGTCATCACCAGGGCTGGCGCATCAGCACGAGTCAGATCAGCCACAAACACAATTTCTGGGTTGCGCACCACGACGTTCATCTCTGTCTTCGACACTGGGGCTAGAGCCGTACCTTAGAGAAGAAAAAATAAATCATCACCAAACACCAATGTTTGTCATCAGACAGATTACTTCAACTATCATCATAAATAGCATTTCTACAATTATCAACATCCAACTCAACTTGTGAAGAAACGGTAAAAATAAATTAGATAAATATGAACGTTTGATTTGGATGATTGTCCTATTTTAGATAAGTGAGGTTTGCATTGGCTAAATCGATTGGATCCGACTATATTTGAAAAGACAAACTCACTCGAGTCTTTTGATGTGACAGAGGAGTTAATGTTCTTTTTTTCTCCAGCTCCAGTAATGTTTTTAGGTTGTGCCCCCTGAGCAAAGCCCTGCTGGGTGGCTTTAAGAAAGATGTCAGCCACGGTGAGCAGGAACTCCATGCTGGCACACAGGTACACATCCTGCACCAGCGTGTCTAAAACGGTGCCTTCATGGCCCTGACGGTAGTTCACCTCCACCATTATGTTCTGTTCCGCACCTGGCCGCATTGCCATCATCCTGGAGGAATAAAAACAATGCTTTGAAAGAATGTGACCATTTATTACAATGTACTTATCCTTTGAGAAACAAACGTTATAAACAATTAACTTGTGTCAAGCACTAGAGAAAATGCACGTTTCTTATTCACATTTTTATGAAACAAGTTACTGCGACACATCTGAGTCCTTTAACTCTTTAACGTTAAAATATATTTACTCCCCAACCCCAAGCAAAGAACATCATGATAAAGGTTTTCTACAAGTAAGACACTGAATGCTCATCTGTGCATTACTAAAAACAAAGATTAACTATTTTTTAAAGGCTTCTGTCTCAAACCTTGGGGTAACCATCTTTATTTTTGGTCTCTTGTCATCCAGCAGGCACATAGTGAGTCGGACTGAAGCCTTCATGGAGCTGTCAGAGTACATGTAGACAAAAGTGGAGATGGTGTGCAGAGTAAACTCTGCCAGCTTCAGCTGCTCATCATGCAGGTCTAAAAGTTGTACCTATGAAACACAATAAATAAAATAACTCGCAACTGAAAGAAGAACAGTTATATGTTATCTGTGTCTGTATTTGCATACCACATGCTCATTAGGGCTGTACAGGACCAGCGTCATGGAGTCAAACTTGAAGTCCAGCTTGAGTGTGGTCTTCAACTTGCTGGGTTTCTGCGTCTCCACCACAGCAGCTGTCACCACGGTGTTACCTGTGTCAGTGTCATCGTTTCACAGCTTTAAATTTTTCTGCTAAAATGCAGCAAGACACTCATCCTTTTAGATTTTATAAGCCATTTATGGGTTTTTGTGATCTTGAACTGTCCAACTCCACACTAAAATTAAATTGGTTTTATTGTATGGGGAAACTAATTCAGCTCCTAAAATATTAAGTATATAATATATATACTTAAAACAATGACATAAACACAAATTCTAACATGTATTGTCACATCTACTTACTGCTCGCAGGTCCTGAGGTTCCTGAGTTCTGAAAGTCTTTGTTGGAAGCAGAGTCAGAGGAGCGATCACGGATGGACAGAGTAGCCGGAGGCTGAACAGCTTCAGACTTCTCTGAGAGATTTTCACTCAGAGTCCTCAAGACAACAATCATGTCATCCTGGCAGAGGATCAGCTGTCGGGAGCAAAAACATTAAGCATATCAAACATTGGAAAAAATATCAAAAAGGAGTAATAAAAACTGCTGATTACTAATAAAACAATGGCAGAGCATGTAAGCTTGTAAACGATTATTTTTATAGGTTTTGATGCAAATTACTACTTACATTCATTGGCTTCAGATGAGCAGTGATCTCTATGTCGGGGATGCTGTGGTACCAGTTGGATGACAGATTTCTCTGAATTTCCAAGTCCAAACTAACAGGTTTCAAAACTTGCATCTCTCCCTGAAACCCCCCATTTATGTAAGTGGTTCTGAAACAACAACATCACAACAGTCAAATCTTTAAAATCCCATTTAAGTGAAAGGTGGTCTTCCCTGACAGTCCGTCTCTGACCTGTACATCTTGAGGTCACTCAGCTTCACAGTCATTTTATCCACAACAGGTGGGATTTTAGAATCACTTTTAAAGGGCTGCTTGGCAAAACAGTTCTTGACAGACAGAAGACCAAGATCAGCTACAATGACATTTGACGAGGACGACGACTGAGGGAGGAAGATAACAGGAGCATTGAAGTGGACACTGAGAGCGATTCGAGAGCTCCGCTCTGCCAGTTCCTTCACACCTGAGGCTGCCTTTTCCGCAGCTTGAACCGTCACCTCAGCCAGGGCCTCTTTAGCCTCCTGGAAATTATTAATAAATGCCTGGGAGGGGAAAGAAATATAAAAAAGACTAAGTAACTTCAACTGAAACAGCCCAATATTAATTTCAGTATCACTTGATCATTTTAAAGTATTAGATTCTTACCAGTATGGAGGACACAAACTTGTTGAGAAAGATGACCTGAATACATCCAACTGTCAGCGAGACACAGGTGTCAACTTTAGACATGTCTAGATATGCGTCTCCTTCTGTTGCATCAGTAAAGTTTTTCATCCGGAAGGAAAAAACTTCCTTGTCAGCAATAGAGACAGCCTGAGAAAAGAATCAGACATAATAAAACAGACCAAACATAACAGCAGATTAACTAAATATGCTTCATCTGTGAGCTGCAATTATTATCCAGGTTTGCTACCAAGTAGTCAAACTAGATCAAAATAAACAACAGTAACATCATATATACCGTATTTTCTGCCAGACACGTCGCTCCGCCCTATAAGTCGCATCAGTCTAAATATGTCTAATAAAGTGGAAAAATTCATAAATATGTCGCTTCGTCGTATACGCCACATCTATTATGGGTCACCGCTGACAACCTGGAAATGTGGGCCGGTGTTGTGTCAAAAATCGATTGGCTGCCAAATGGTGGCCGCGGGAGCGTGCAGAGGACAAGAGTTTAACAAGCTTAACACTTAAAAACGATTATTTGTTTGCTTGACGTTATAGCAAAAGTGTGTTTCAGTTTAACTTTTGCTTAATAAATGCACTTTAATGGTCAAATCAGCTGTATTTCAAAAGACAATACACAGAAGTAGGAACACGCAGAGGGACAAGTCGCTGTGCGTTTCATCAAAATTTAACAAGATAAACACTTAAAAACAATTATTTGTTGGCTCGACTTTATAGTAAAGGTGTGTCTCAGTCTAAATATTACTTAATAAAAAGACTAACGGTCAAATCAGCTGCATTTCAAAAGTATTAACTGCCTCGGTGCTCCGGGAGCATGCAAACAGGGAGGAAAAAATGAAAGAGGAACGCTGCGCATTTCTTCAAAATTTAACAACCACCTAAAACAATTTTTAGTTTACTCGAAATTATAGCAAAGATGTGTCTCTGTTGAACTTTTACTTAATAAATGCACTTTTCTGGTCAAATTAGCTGCATTTCGCCGGGGTGGTGCAGCGAAATGAAGCTGTTTTGACGGATGCTCCAAGCAGCGAGCAGAACGAAGGTGGCAGGCGAAGGCAAGTCAATTGTGTCATTAATAGCTGAAGATTCTCAGTCATCCAGGACATGGTGAATTCATAAAAAGTTAAAGACGAAAACAATGAAGTATAAAGTAAAGTATAATAAATAAAGTCCAGTTGTTTTTGTCTTCAACTTTTTTGAATTTGTCATTAATAGCCACTTTACCTTTTACATGATACAACGGCATGCCTTACTACTCGAGTGCCATCTAGCAGCTGAAAATGGTAGTGTTCAAATTTTTCAGTCAGAATGAATGAAAACGGTCATATCTCAGCCAAAAATTGGTTTATAAATATGGGTAAAAAATCCATAAATACGTCACTTCAGCCTACAAGTCGCAGGGCATGCAAATTATGCAAAAAAACAAGACTTATAGCACGAAAAATACTGTACTGTAAATATCGCCAGACTGTAATGACTGCTGACAAAAGTAACAAATACAGGCATCACATTATTAAATTAGCCACTTGCGAGTTCTACCTTCTTATAAATGGCATCTTTGTTGCAGTCTAGGATCACAATGCTCTTCAGGTTGGCTTGGACCTCCATCTCCTTCTTCCTCATCAGGACCTCAGAAACCAGACCTGGGAAGTTGAGAGGGTCACAAAATGGGAGCACTTTCTGTATAAAGTAAGACTTTCAGTGTAAAATATTCAGGTCAGAAAGGGTCCTGGCATTGTCAAACCTTCTTTTAGAAAAGTTCTGGCTGTGATTTCTGGACTGTAAATGTTTTTTCTAAATCAATAATACTTTGATACTTTTTCTGTTATTCTATCAGTGCATAAATAAATAAATAAATACCATTTGTTTGAAGACTACAGGAACCATTGGGAAAGAAAATTAAAGGGCAGAGAAGACATTAATTTTTTTTCCACTTATTTGAGTCATTTTTTATGTTGTGCACCAAAAAACACACACAAACACAAAACTCGTGCAGGAACGACAGCGAATAAAGCAACAGTAGTGGGTTTTTTTTAAGTGTTATCTTTCCTTTCATACCTTCAATACTAATCTCAGAGATTCTGGCTTTCTGTCCTCGAATGAACACTTTCAAGCAGCGCAGATCTGCTCTGATGTGAAGATTCACCACATCTGCATACTTTGACTTTTTTGAAGCTGCCAAATGAAGAAAACAGCAGATAAAAGACGAGTTTCAGCTAAAGAAGGAATAAGTAAATATTCAACATACTTTATTAATTTAAATAAGCAAAATTAACACAAGTTATCAGTTTAACTGTGTGTGATGGTAGTTACTCTTTTTCTTGGCAACAGCAGCTTCCTCCTTCTTCTCTTCCTCCCTTTCAGTCTCTGCCTCCTCCTCCTCTGGGATGGTGGGGAGCTCCTCAGCCCCCCCTTCTTTCTTGGCAGATGGAGGAAGGAGGTTATTGAGAAAGTTCATGGTATTAAGGAGAGCCTCCGTATGGAGATGAACATCCAGGGATGAAAAGGTCACCTGATGAGAAAAATGTAAACATATTGACTGACAAAATTATATAAGAAAGCTAAATTAATAATTTATACATTTTCTGTGCATCATAACCAAAAATCAAAATGCAAAGAAGTTTTTAAAAATGTAATTTATTTGTAATAGCTAAGTGGTTAACATTTCTCCTCACCTTGATGAGCTGCTCTGTATTGTTGTGTTGTGATTTGAACTCAGGACCGTTCTTGTCAGCCTAGAAAGTAAACCCAGTCCAGAACGTAAAGGCATTTTATCTCATTTCTAAAATATTTACTTTAAATTAACAATAAACTGATTTATATCAGTACAAGGGAGCAAAAGTACTTTAGTATACTCCAGGGTAAGCAGGTCAACTTCTGAATTATCTAAGGTGGTGATCAGCTGAACTTGCTTTTCCTCAGAATCTACAAAACAAACAAACAAACAAATCAAGACCAATAAAAGCTGAAGCCAGGACACAACAGAGTTTATGTTATTTTAGGTTTTTGATGCCAAATGATGACAGGAAGTTCTGCTGGGATCTACTGACCCATGTACTCAGGACACTTCAGGCAGATCTCTCGCAGGTAGATGTTGGACACCATGTTAAAGGTGCACAACTTCAGCTCAGTGCCGAGACCCTCGATATCCAGGTGGAGCACTGTGACCTCTTGACCTCCTGACACACGACACAACTGAACAGACAACTAAAAGGAAATGACAAAAAGGTTGTTAGAATAAACAATATTAATAATACATTACAGGGAAATACAAGCATAAAATAAACCCCAAAATACCTCAAATATTTTAAGTTAAAATAAATATAAGTATTACACAACACACAGACGAAAACAAAGAGAAAAGAGCAGAAGGAGCTTGCTTATAAAATATTTCGAAGTCTTCAATTATGCACTTGTATTTGACTAATACAGATTTCAGTGTCTTAAAATGACACTAAAGCTTTACTGCCAAAACAGAATTAACATGATTTAAGTTCCAAGTAGTTCAGGATACATGTAGTCCATGTTTGTCACAAGTTTAACAGGATTTTCTTTACCTCACTGATCTCAAACTTCATGTTGAAGTCAATCATGTTCTTCTGAGGATCTTCTTTGATGAAGATCTTTTTTTTGCTTAAATCTCCGTAGCGCAGAGGCAAGGGATTGTCTGGGAAGAACGGCTTATCCCCGATGGGAGAAGTGGGAGCGTCATAGAACAAATCTTCCTCTGATCCTGTGATGTTTCACAGATAGAAACACACCACAGTGAAGTTTACTGCCAAGTGAAATTCCAGCAACCTTTGTCATTTTATAGAAAATGACCTTCAGGCACAAAAACTGCTGCACAGTGTCACCAACCGATGGCAGTAAACATAGAACTAAGTTGTGTTACCGGTAAATAAAAGAAGGAAATGAGAGTAAAACACAAGGTCACAGCAATTAAAAAAAAAAAAAATGAAGATCTCTTCAGCAGTTTGGAGCAAATAGTAAGTATCCGCTGTTGACTTTATCTATTAGTATGTGAAATATTGAGACAGCTCTTGAAAAATATCATTGTTTCACATCAACCTTTTCAAATGATTATCTTCAAAGTTTTTCAAAATCCTGCAATAGTCGTGTCAAGTTTATATATCAAGAAGTACAGAGTTTAAAACTTGTGTTTAAGTGTGTACATCTGTGGCTCACCCAGTGAGGAGATGCTGATGGTCTCACATGACTCAAACATAAGAGAGGAGCGCTGGTCTGCTAAGTTCAGAGGTTTTCTGGGAGTGAGCTGAGGGGTGAACGACTGCCTTGTCTGACGAGATAAATCAAGGAACATTTAAATGTTACAGTGAAGTCTGAAGGACTTTTATTAAACTGTTAAAAAAATGCAGAAATCATTTTAAGTTTTTTGGATGTTCACTAAAATTGGTTTATTATTTCCCAAGGTATTATGTAACTTTCACTAAATCTATGGGGAGCCATCTTGGCAGTTGTTACCTTTGCATTTGAAGATGAAGCAGTGCTGCGAGCAGCAGGTCTGCTCTCAGGCAGAGGGATACTGTCTACCAGCTCCAGAACGCTTCGAAGTTTATTATCAGAAATACGAAGAGAGAGCAGAGGAAGTCCTCCAGACATCTTATACCTAAAACACATTCACAGACATTGAATTATGCTAAAATGAAATACCCTACAATGCCTTATTTTTTTTTTTTTTCAATCAGGAAAACTAGCTTTATTATTTATTGTTACTTCTAATATTACTAAATTCTCTTCACCCCATTACAGATCAACCCATTGACTGTATTAAATTTATACTAAGAGCTACACACTTACTTAGGCATGCGGGAGTCTTTGACAACCATGGCCCTGCTGAAAACCACTTTCAGGTCCACGGGCTCCAGGATGTGAAGTGGAGATGTTTTCTGTTTGCGAGCTCGTTTCCAGTCACCATCTATGGACAAAGTGTTAATACATTACTAGCTTCACACAGACACGCACAAAAAATGCAAGATAATTTAATTTTCAAGTCTGTGTTATCTTTGAGGAAGTCGTTTATTAAAACCATTAGTGCAATAAGAGCTGAGTGCATCGTTTCCTTTGTAAACTACATTTTCAATTAAATTTTGGGTTTACTTATTTCCAAACAGTGGTTCATACAGTCCCGATGCATGCTTATACAAATACATAAAACATGTTCTTTCACTTCATGTGTCTGTATTGTTTGTACCTGGTTTGCTGTAAAGGAACTGTAAGCTGCTAAGCTGCACATCGAAGCTGTCGTACGCTCTGGACATAATGTCTTCAATGTTACTGGAACACGCCGACAGCTGCGGCAGATTTTTCTTGCTTTGACTGGACATCTGAAAAAACAAAATTCAGGTTTGCACAAGTTGAAATATTTAAAATTTGTCTTTAAGTGTGATATCGTAGAAATAGCTTTCAGCAATATAACCCAAAAAGCAAAATAAATGAGTCCAGTTACAAACATTGGGTTTTGGGTCTTGTTTTGCAAACTTGAAATATTTCCTCAAAAACACTTTCTGACCTTGAAATGACCGAGGTCCAACAGCAAGATGTTCTGAGTCCCATTGTAAAAGCCGGTCTGGGGGATGATGACGTATGAGGCCATCAAGTTCAGCTTCAAGTCGAGAACTTTCTGTGTTTCGATCACATACATTAAACCTGAAAAACAGAATGTCACAAGTTTATCACTTACAGCTTTAACAACTTTTAGTATTGGAGAAAAAAATAAACAAACATGCATTTAGTTCGACTTCCAAGCCCCAAACAGAAAGACAAAACAGATTTTGTTAACATGAAGAAACACAGTTTGCATCTCGTGGGCTATACTTGAAAATATTAACAGCACAAATATATATATTTTTTTTATTATTTGTAATTTTTACAAATGTCCTGTTAAAGCAAAGCTGTTTTGTTGTTGTTTTTGCACAGTTGAAAATGTTATTAAACAATGAAAATCATGCTCGTTCTATAGCATTTTCAGATTATGATCACAGATACCCCTGACGTACACATATCTGGAAGATAGTTTAAAAAAAACTATTTTGTAAAATTACATCAAGTAAAATTTACTAGCCAAATTCAGTCTCTGACAAAGTATGTACAACAAAAATTAAAAAAAGAGCAGATTAAAACATATTTAAAAAAAAAAAACTAAAAATAAAACCAGTTTAATGAGGATGAACAGGAGCACAATCTGATAAGCTCCATGTGTGTAAACACTGTACATAACTAAATTGCTAAATTAAATCAAAGAATGTAAACATGCTCTCATCAGAGTTCAGACCAGGTTTGTGATAATGTTAAGATCAGTCCTGGTAGTTTAGGTCTGTAGTGTGCACGTTTGTGCTCATAAAACAGCTCACCGGTGGAGGTGCGGTCTCTGAACTGTTCCAGTTTCATCAGGGTCGCATTGGTGAGCTCATCGAGCTGCAGGTCGTCAGGCAGCCTGAAGAATGCTGCCATGCTGTTCACTGTTATCTATTCAGAACAATATTTTATTATAAGTACCGGTACTTGTTGTGATGTTATTGAAGCGTAAACTCAGATGCACTGAGAAGTGTCACTCACTGCGTCATAGATGATTTCCAGGGGTTGTGATTCAACATGAAGCCGCTGGTTTGCACTCTCATCCAGTGGGTTGGTTTCAAACAGGATGCAGAGCAGTGGGGTTCCTGCTCCTGTGGCTGCCTTCCTCGATGAAAGGAGGGTTGGTGCGGGCCTGTCTGTGGCCAAACCAGTGACTTCAAACAAACTGAGCTGCGCTGTGATTCTGAGAGAAAGAGAAACTGGATATCAGTGCCAGGATTCTCGGGAGGAGATATGCTCGAAGAACTAAAAGCAAAAATATTATAATTTTATTACATTGCATACTATCTGATTATGAAGTAAGGAGTGTTTTGCTTTGCACAATAATTTTTAGAAACATTTAAATCACATTCATGTTTTCAAACTAATTCCTTCAAAAATATCTAAAATGTGCAGGAGAAACCATACAACACTAAAACTAGCCAAAAGCTGTTCAAAGAGCGTTGACAGACTTGATGGCTTGAGCTCCAGGCCTCTGTGCCAGCGTCGACTTGAGCTCCTCCACAGTCAACTTGATGATCTCGTTTTTGTCCTTCTTGTCCTTGATGGACACGGTCAGCCTTTCCATGTGAAACTTAACCTTCATGTTTTCAAACTGTCAACAAAATACAAAACAGCTTATGCTTTGACCAAAAAAAGCAGTTTCAGAATGATGAGCCAAACAGGAGAGTGTTATTAGTTGAAAGCTGGAAAATGAAAGAAAAGTGACTCGCCTTTTTTGGCAGGTTGGGATTAGCAGCAGTTTCACTGTATCCAATGGCAGTGTAGAGTTTGGCTTTCTCAGCAGGGGTTAAAAGCTCATCAAAACCTGAGATGCAGACATGTGGGAAGAAGGAATAGAAGGTGAGCATAAAAATACTGACAATGACACTAAAGTTTGTTCTGATATCAACTACACAGCTGAACTATGTTTTTTTCTTCCACATAGTCACACATGCTTGGGTTTACATTTTGCTGCTTTTCTGCTCAGTCTTACAGTTCAGTTTCAGTATCTTACTTCCAGGCTTGGTCTCTTTTGTTTGTGTCTCAGCTTCTCCGCCCCAGTTCCACATCCAGCTGAGCCAACCCTGAGACTCCTCCTCCTCCATCTTCAACCCTGGACGATAAATACGTAGTCCTGCCTTGCTTGCCTAATATGAAATAAAATATTAACTGTTGTAATCTTGGAAACAGAAAGAGCAATCACCAAACTATGCAACACTTGCAAATGTGAAATATTGAAAGAACCAAATTTTTGACCCCAAAAATTCATGCTCAATAATCCAGGTACGGTTTATTTTTAGCTGCAACGTTTCGTCTTTCATTCATTCGTCAAATTCTTGATCACTATTTTTTCTACACATTAATTTAATAAACAACTCAGCTAATAACAACGTATGACAATCATTATGGTTTGATAAACTCCATGAGCCGATGACAGACAGGTATTACAAAAACAGATATGCATAAAGTCAGAAAGCTTACCTCCACTTCAGCTTGCTGTCTAGCTAATGTGATATTAAAAATATCTAAGGTCTTCTCAGTCTCCTAAAAAATAAAAATAAATAACTTGAGAGAATTTATCAAAAATTTACTCCATTTATTACAACATGGCAATAAAAAAAATTATTCTTAATCTCGAGAAAATGTGACTCAGAAGAAAGAAATAGGACAAAACTTCATCACAAACAAAACAATCTTCAACTTGTCAGTTCACTAAAAGATAAAATGATTAAAAAAAAAACATTCTTTAAGTTATCAGTCTGTCTTTGTATAACGTTTGAAATATATTCACAGATTTTAACAAGTACTCGTCAGTACAACTAAGCAGAAACGACCTGTCACACTGATCTATTCTAGACAAACGTTCATTTTATTGTACAAATTTCACATTAGGATAAGTTCAGCCGAGCCCCACCTCTAGCTGCTTCAGAAGCTCCTCGCAGGGCTTCTTGCTGGTGATCTTTGTCTTGTAGAAGTCTTTGTAACACTTTACCCTCTGCCGGTGCCGGTGAATGAATTTCCACGACCACATGTGGAGATGTGGCTTCACGTCCACTTCCAGGATGCTGGTGGTCACGTACTTCCACCTGAAATTCAGGAACATAGAAACAAAGTCAGCTGCTCAATCTGCGAATTGTGCAGCGGAAACAAAATGTTCAATTTTCTGACCATATGAGAGCATTCTTGTGAACATGGACCTCAGGTCTGTACTTCCTGTATGGCAGGTTTCGTGACATCATATCCACTGAGCCCAGCAGTTCCAAAATGCTAATATACTGAAGAGACAGGAAGTCAGTAATTACAAAGTAGAACAGAGCGCTGCAGTTCAGTCATCATCTCACTGTTGAACTTGTTTTGATCTTTGTCTCTAATACAAGACACTCGTGTTGCGCTTTGAGAAAGACATGTTTAAGACAACACACGTGCACTGACCTGAGGCTTGTTGAGCTCTATAGCCACCTCACTGAGGTTGACCGTCAAGTCCACTTTAGGAGCAGAAAAATCCACATCTGACCTGGGATTCATTCGTAGTTTAGCATCCGCTGATATTGGGCGAAAAACTGTGGATCCACAACAGGAAAGTGATACAAGTTTAGGAGCAACTAAAGTTTACATTAACGTTCAACTATCTTAAGTTAATGATCTAAACTGGACATCAGAATTCTTTGTTTTTATGTAAGATTAGTAAATCAAATTACACACACCAATGCCTATTAGTGAAAATCAAAACAAAAGCTGCTGAGAGGTGATGAAAATCTGTTAAAATGTGTTGCTGTGTGAGTCACAGGTTTTAATGATGATGTTTAATAATGTGTTTAGCTGGATTTGAAGGGAAATGAACAAAACAATTAAGAGTAAATGATGACAGTGAGGCACTTACTGAAGTTGTGGCTGGCTGAAAGAGAAGGATGAATTTCCACGCTGCTCTGAAGACAGCGCTATAAAAAAAATATATAATAAGAAAACATTTTGATACATTTTACTTCTTGAACTTAATCTCTCCATTGCCATACTTTTCAAAAATACCCATGAGGCCTTTTTGACAAGCTTTGTAAAATCTTTATAACAACTTAATAGGTTGTATGTCCTTAAAACAGTTTTTGTTTCCAGATTTATGCTTTATCTGAATGCAATTCTGACACAACCTCAATCCTGTGTAAACAAGGAACATACTGTATGTCAGCCCCAATTTAAAATAAGAGCACTCAATGCAGACAGGAAAGAGATAATGTACAACGCACGGTTTAATGACTCACCAACGCCTCTTCAGCATTGTGATTGGAGAAGAGCGCCGAGTTGACATTCCAGTAGACAAACAAGTTGTCCAGTCGAACCAACTGAGGGAAGAAATTACAGAAGCAATTAGTGTGATGAAGAGCTGAACACAGAGCACAAAGTGAAGAGGAAATAAAAGAAGCTCCTTGAACTGCTACTGAAAAAAAGGTTTCATAGAACTGATCTATATAAAATGCAATTGATGCTGTAAATAAATAAATATCTAGATAAAAGCAAGTGTTGTCTGAATTACAAAAAAGTAGTGCTGAGCTAGTTGTTAATGTTTTCACTCAACACAACATAAAACAAGTAGGGAGACAAAAACCTCAAAGGAATGAAGCAAACAGGATAAGATTCTCAATCAGTTAGATATTTTGTAAAATCTTAGTAATTACATTTTTTTACCTTAAAGAAAAGCTTGGCATTTTCGTCCAAGAGACTGGGCTTCCAGTTTTTATCAGCTGTCTGTTATGTAATGGAAAAATAAACAATACAATACAGTACAATGCACATATTCTGACAGAAAGTAAATTTAAAAAACATTTTACCTGGAGGCTGAGGTTTTGAAGTGAAACACCAAACGACAAAGGACAGTTTTGATTGGTAACCTGCGAAAAAAAAAAAAAATTTTTAAATAAATCAATTGATTCTATAATTATTCTGTACGATTTATAGTACAGTAGTCCCTCGTTTATTGCGGGGGACCCATACCCTAAAGATAAGTGAAAAACTGCAAAGTAGGAATAGTAGTACAAGCAGTAAGTAGTACAGTAGTTTATTTTATTATTTATATAGATATATATTAAGGCATTTTAAACCCTTCCCACACTCTTGCAATATTCCAAACAATGTTTCTAAACTCTAAAGGCTCTAAAAGAGAAGAGAATCATGATTTCAGCTCTCTGCCTCATCTGCATTTGCCGCCAGCAAGCGTTCTTGGCCACGCCCACTTCTCCGCTCTGCAAGCTGAAAATCTGATCAGCTGTTTAACTGCAGCAAGAAGTTTATCCTGCAGCAGTATGGACTGCACAAACGTGCAGCAGGTACTAAATAATTCAAAATAATTTATTTCAAATAAAAATTTCATGCTGATTGTGCGGCTCATCCATCAATCAGCCAATTGTGTGTCATGTCCAATCTTATTTTGAAAAACCGCGATAGAGCGAATCCGCGATAAACGAGCTGCGAAGTAGCAAGGGACTACTGTACTGAAATTGGCAAATGTTAATACGCAACAAACAAGTCCACTGCAAACAAAACAGTATGTGATTTTGAAGCACGATACTCAGTTGGAATACTCACATCATCTTCATAGCGCACATGGATGTTTGAGATCTTGATCTGCAGGTTTTTGATAACCTGAGTCACAAGTTTTTCTACAAAGGTGTCCTGCTTCTCCAGTTTAGGGTTTTCTGTCAAACATGAACAAATACAACCATGAAACCCAAACTGACTCTAAAGTGTTTCTGTAATGTCTAAAGAAATGCAGAAGTGAAGCACTTCATATTGTATTTCTTAGCTTAGATCCTTCCTTATTACTGTTTCTTTTACAATTTATATTTTTGATATTGTTGGATGTAACTGGGACCCTGTGTACACAATTTCGTTCCACCTCATGTACCACATGTGATGCGAATGACAATAAAGAACTTTGAAATAAAAATCAGTTTGTGGGAGGGATTTGCTTGCTCCTCTTAATGCTGATGTCAAAATATCAATCGGTCCTGTCTGAATGAACAAAAACTAATTTCCATCCATCCATTCCATTCATTCATCCATTATCTTTACCTGCTTCTTCCTTTTCGGGTCATGGAGGTCACTGGTGCCCATTTCCAGCGTCACTGTGTGAGGTGGAGGACACTTTGGACAGGTCTCCAGTCCATCACAGACACATAGAGACAAACGAGACAAACAACCATTCACTCTCTCACTCACACCTAGGGACAATTTAGAGTTACCAATTAGCCTAACATGCATGTTTTTGGTCTGTGGAAGGAAACTGGAGTACCCAAAAAAAAACCACGCATGCACAAAGCAAACTCCACCCAGAAAGGCCCCGGGCTGGGATTTGATCCGGCGACTTTCTCACTGAGAGGCAACAGTGCTACCAACTGTGCCACTATAAAATAAAACTTGGTCCCTTTGATTTTGAATTATTTAAGGAGCAACATACATGCTTTAAGACTAACAATGAAAAGCATTACTTTTTAACCTTGTTTAAAACATGTAAACAATGGCACAGCCCAATTACCAGCTACAAAAAAATAAAAAAAATAAAAAATAAATACAATATCCCATATAAGCTGACATATACAGAGAAGTGTGAAAGTTTTGGGCTGCACAGTCACTCACAGACATACCATAATCTTATGACTTAAGAGCTGTAATCATGCTACCTTTTTCACTGTTTATCTCAGCTTTTGGTTCTCTCTCTAAAACCCAAATGCTGAAACACATCTCTTACAGTTATGCTCAAAACATCCCTTAATCTGCTGAAAACTTAGTTAAACAAAAAAAAGTATTTACAGAACTCTCACACACACATATGGTCTAAACATTAGACTCGGACCTTTCTCTGCAGCCTTCTGCTTTGTCTCCTCTATTCGCTGGAGTTCCCTCTGACGAGCCTCCTGTAGCTGCCTCTCCTCCTTTTCTGCATCATACTTTATACCTGGAGAAAACGTACCACAGAAAATGTAATTACACTATCTTTTCAATACAAAACAATAAACAGTGCGAGCCTTAAATGTAATAACCTACTTGCCAGGATGTTAGGAGACCCTATTTTTACTCTTTTTACCACACATCAACAAGACAATTAAACAAATTGAACCTTATACTGTTGCTATTTCTAAAACTTATGAATTCATTTCATTCTGTAAAACAAGAACTAAAATAATCAATTGTACTAAGAATTTATTAAATTAATAGGCTTTATTAACAAATCTGAGATGTCATATTATTTCTGTAGGTACTACCTACAGGAACAATATGACATTTATAGCGAGGACCAACACATAATCTTATTTTATGTGTATTGTAAAGAACATAAATGTTGCTCTTACTTGCTGTGGGGACTATAAGCAGATAGACACCATCCAGCGTGGCCTCCACTGACTGGGTGTAGAGATTCTTCCATGGGATCTTTAGCTCCAGACGTCCTGTTAACAAAAAAATACTAAGTAAGAATGCTTGTCTCTAAACCTGAAAGGTTTGAAAGATCCCAAACTGGGTCGAATGAGGCCATCGTTACCTATGTGACCAGCTCTGACTTTAAAGGGAATATCAAGCTGACTCTGCAACACAGAAACAAATAAATCTTCATTATAACACAAGACTCTGCAAATCCTGATTAGTTGCTCGTACGTTTAACTTACCAAGGCATTTTCCTTTATTTCAAGGTTTTTTAGAACGGCATCCCCTGCAATGACCACAATATGTTACAATAAAATAGACCCAATTTGTACAGACTTAAAGTGAGGTTCATATAAACAGATTTAACAAAAAAAGTGGGCTCTTTATCTTGAGAACTGTTTTAAGCAACAAAATGAGTTGTGATGCACAACTATGTCATTTTTAGACACATATAACGTAGGAATAGATGCACATTTAATGTATCCGGTAATGCAAACGCAGCCAGCAGACACACGTAAAGAAACTCTTCTTTTCTACTCTTCTCATTCGCCCAACAGGTCTGGAGGTCCTTGAACATTTAAGTGAACCCGGAACGAGTCATAACCTGGTTGTGTGGAAGGGCGGGACTACTCGCTTCTCAGAAACTTCAAGGAGCAGCTGAACATGCAAAATCAAATTATTACTGATGAATGACGCGTTTTTCTCCACAGAAAGAACATTTCTCTGTCGTGTTACACTCATGCTGTATCACCAAGCTGCATTTTAAGAAAGACAAAACTGAAAGTGGCCGCTGAGAGAGCTTCTTTTCTGCTCACGCGACTGCCTGCTAACATTGCATTAGCATTTAGCTCCGCAGCTTAGAGCTAAAGAAAGGCAAACAAGTTCAATTACCTCCCCATATTCCAAGCTTCAGCTGCGAGCTGTCAAGGTTGACAACATAATCCCCCAAAAAACGATTCAGAACGTCCACTACGACGCTTTCAAAAACCATTTTAACGTTTCTTTCATGGGTCTGTCACTATATTTACATCTTGTGCGGACCCTTTAACGTTCGTAGCCTCGAGACGACAGCGCTGAGAAAGACGACTGTACGTCATGACGTCACTGACAACTACCCACACGATAGTTGGGCAGATCGTTGTAGCATATAATCAAATCACAGTTTTTCTTCCTACTTAATGATATTCTTGCTTGTTTTTTTATTTAATTAAACATATAAAAATAACGTTCCCACTGATTTAAAATGTTTCAAGGTCTTCACTGATTGTGTTTAAATTGCTTTAAATTACGTATATCCACAAGGAATAATTATTTCAATATCCATGAAAAAGATATTCAGAAATGTTTTGTTTTTTATATATGTTTTACTGTATATGTTTCATACATATTTTATATATGTCTCTCCAATGTCATTTTTGCCCAATTTTTTAAATCCCTTTTCCTATTCACGTGTATTTTGCTTTTTGGCTTTCAGTTCAGATATTCACCACATGTATGTTCTATTTATAATCCTATTTAAATGGAAAATTGGGTTGTTTTTGGATAAGATCATACAAAAATTTATCCCACCCACAAATTATCACATATTCACTACACCCCCAACTGAAAAATCTTTCAGCACCAATGGGTTTTTCTTAAAAAGAGTTTTAACTCAAGGAAACTCACATTTTTATACAAAGTATTTGCAATGTGTTTGTTTTAAGCACAATTTCAATTTTCGGTTTTATGTTAAAATGATTTCCCACTTTGTTCTAAAATTATATTCTCAACATGTCCATACATATTGGTAATTGCATTATTGTTGATCATTATTTCAATTACTGATGCCAACTGTGATCAGTATAAGTATTGGATACTAAAAACTATATTAAAGAAATCTTTTTTTATTTTTTATGTGCAATTTCAAAATCAAACTTGCAATTGGAATTGTAGATAACAAATTGCGCCGCTCAAGATGGCTGCATGTTGGAGCAGCTCTGTTACTTTCATTCTGAGATTTTGCTTTTGGAAACTTTAATTCATCTTTTTCTGGATGTAAATCACATTTTTTGGATGGTTGTTTCCTCTGGTATCAGATGCTGTGCAGCTGGAAGGATTTTTACTGAAACTTTTTTTAGTTTTGGACATTTGTTATGATGCGTAACCATGGCAACAAGGCAGTTTTCTACAACAACAGCAGCTGAATAACATCTCAAAAGCTTAAATAATATCTCAACTATGGCCCCAACTCTCAAATGAGTTGAAAAGGATGTTCTATGGACGCATTCTCATCTACCTGCCAGCTGTGCTCGAGTGCCTGACCACTGAGATCCTGGAACTAGCAGGAAACACGGCTCACGACAGCGGAAGAACAGGATCGTCCCTCAGCACCTACAGTTGGCTGTCCGCAGCTATGAGGAGATCGGCAGACTTCTGGGAGGAGTGGCCATCGCTCTGGGAGGAGTTCTGCCCAGCATTCAAGCGGTCCTACAGTCCAGGGGAACCAGGAGGCCAGCCGAGTCTGGGTGGACGGATCGGACGGCATCTGCAGCCAGTTTCTTAGGATCCACTGTGGGATGGACCTTTACAAGAGATCCTTCCTGTCTACAGCCATCAGCATCTATAACATCTCTTAATGAAATGAGGATAACAAGTTACAATAACAAAATAATTTTCCTCTGGGATTAATAAAGTATTTTTGAATTGAATTGAATTGAAAAATGTAAATTTCTCTGTAAAAATAGTTTGATTGATTGGTTGATTGATTGATTGGTTGATTGATTGATTGATTGGTTGATTGATTGATTTCTTGATTGATTTGTTGATTTATTTATTTGTTTATTTGTTTTTCTAATTCTAAACAGGATTGCATGGATTTAGGATATCTCGAGCTGTAAGCAGATTAATAATAAATATAAAAGTTGTTTGTTGTGAGAAACAAGAAATACTGATTATTAATAGATCAAACTGCATTTTGAATTAATGAAGTCAGTGACTGTCCATTTGACTGTCCATCGATTATCTTTAGCCACTTCTCCCTTTTTGGGTCGCGAGGGTCACTGGTGTCCATATAGTCATGGTGCGAGAGGTGGGGGACACCCTGGATCTCCAGTCCATCACAGGGACTCATAAAGACAAACGAGAAAAACAACCATTCACTCTCTCACTCACACCTAAGGACAGTTTTGAGTTACCAATCAGCCTAGCATGCATGTTTTTTGGTCTGTGGACGGAATTCGGAGAACCCAAAGAAAACACATGAAGAATTAAATTATAAACAGCTGCTTTTCTATTATATGATAAACTAGCTTGCCAAACAGTGTTGGAGGCTGGACCCAGAGCCCTATAAAGAGACTGGACTGGTCCAGCACCTGCATGGTCCAGGACAGGTCAGACTGCAAACTGACAGAACAAGCAGGCTTCTCTTTAAAGAGGAAACAATAAACAGTTCCTTCCTTTAAACTGACTTTAAATTGAAAATGCCCCAACAAGTAAGAAATGTCCACCAACTTCTTATTTTTATTGATTTTACTGATTGAAAACACAAAAAACATGAAAGCTGTCAGTGATTAAAATGTCTGCAGATATTTTGCTACACACCAAACATTCAGTTTTAGTTCTACCATTAAAATTGATATTTCAAAGAACCATTTGTTCTTGTTTCATTTGTAGCAGAATTTCCACAATTAATTCACTTAAAAATCACAATCTTTATTCAGACTGTGATTTTTGATTTGTGGATCAATAAAAACAAATACACACAGCCAACTTAAAAAAAAAAAAAAAACATTTGTCTGTGATGTAGACCTAAGGCAGATCTTGATCTTGTTTTATCTAACATAACTTTTTACAATTTTGTTTGAAAACTTAAACTTACATTTTATGGAAAACTGCACTCGAACATAAAATAAAGCTTACAATATGGTAATATTTTCACAAGCTACAGCTGAAAACAGTAGCAATACTTGATGATCATCTCTGTTTTCTACAGCAATGTTACACAGAAGGAATGACTTCATTATGCAGAAATGTTTCTCATATTTACTCGAGTAAAATAAAGTAACACAACAAAGATACTTAACAAAAACATTATGTTTTGTTCTTTTTGGCCTTTAAACACAGTCACATTACAATGCTCACTATAATTCATATTTTAAAGGAAATATTTGCCAAAATTTTTCAGATAATCTCTGGGGGACAGCGTTATTATTTCGACCACTTGAACACATCATTGCCGACTCACTCGTCACTCTGTTTGGACTTCCTTGAGAAAAATATAGCTACTCTTTTTCTACTGTACGATTATGTTTCAAACAGTCATTTTATTCACACTGACGAAGATACAACAGCTGGTGAAAAATGCCGTCAAAATCTTCAACCCATGTCGACCTACCTATTCTCAACGAGTGGCCTCAGTCTGAAGAAACAAAATTTATTTCTGACAAGACAAGTTCAAACAGGGCCAAGACTAAGGTGAATTTCTGCCGTCAAGAAATCAACTTCAGGTCAAGATCTTCATAGCAGTTTGTCCAAACTCTTTTTTTATACACTCTACACTGCTACTGATGTCTCACTGTAGTTATTCTGGCATAAATATTATAGTATTGCTGTTATAAGTGCTCCAGGCTGCACCGGAAGTGCAACAGTTAGCTGCTACTGCTGTCATTCGTTCTTGCTAATATCCATAAAACAACAATAATCGACTCCCGCTTTGGATCTGCTTGGACTAGCTGGTCAATCAGATTAAAATTCACTTTTATTTCTCCGAGATGAAGTTGTGCAAAGAGCTGTCAGGTCAGATGATGATTGTTTGTAATGTGTTTGCCGAACCTCACTTCAAAAGATCTCAACTCTGAGATGTGATGTTTTTACTGTTTGTGATTAAAGACCTAGAGTTCCCTCATCATCATCAACAACTTTATTTATAAAGTGCTTTAACACAGCCACAGCTGAAACAAAGTGCTGAACATCAGTTAAGAACAAGATAAGAGAAAGCATAAAAACAAAGCTACAAAGCCAAGCACACAATGAACTAAAAACTCAGTTAAAACACAATAAAACGACGAGTTAAACAGATTAAATCAATGCCAATAAAAATGAAGTAAAATCGAGTCTATAAGTCTGGGGGAGTGGTGGCGCAGAGGTTAGAGAAGGTGGGCCTGTGATCGGAAGATCGCCGGTTCAAGCCCCGGTACCGACATCAAAAATGTGGGTGGGGTAGGTGAAGCACCCACACCTGCCCCCACCCTCATTCGCCCCACCCTGGGCCCTTGAGCAAAGCCCTTAACCCCCATCTACTCCCTAAACAGGTCTCTCTTGAAAATGAGTTCTCGTGGCTCAGTGCGACTACCTGGATAAATAAAGGGTAAATGAAAAAATGTAAGTCTCAGTTGGGTTGAAGGCCAGTGAGTAAAAATGAGTTCTCAGACGAGTTTTAAAAATGGACAGTGAAGGGGCCTGTCGAGCGTGCAAAGGCAGAGTGTTCCATAACTTAGGCCCACTAACAGAGAAGGCCCTGTCTCCTCTAATCTTCCCTGACTGAAGGTGTGTCCCTCACCACATATGCTGAGACGTGATGACATTTTATCCATTCTGGTGACAACATTGTGCACATGTGCGTATTGCACAAGACTGCAGTCTCGTGCAAATATTGGGCAATGTCAGGCTCAGAGTCTGCATTGTGAAGAAAAAAATAATAATTTGTACGCATCTTTTATGATAGTCTATTGTTGTTGTTGTTGTCCACTGTTGTCATCACTCTTTCAGCTCTCTCTTGTAAATGAGTCCCCGAGGCTCAGTGGGATTAACCTGTATAAATAAATGTTGAATGAATGACCCTCAGCTACTAACACAACACATGTTAGCTCAAAATCTGTCAAACTGATTTAGATGCATTTGTCTTTGTAATGTAATGTGTTATGTGTTGTCATCATTGTATGTTTCCATACAATGGCAGAATTTAACCCATCCACCACCAGGTGGAGCAGTGGGGAGCTATAGAAAGCACCTGGGTAGCGATTTGGGGATAAGGTGTCGTGCTCAGAGACACCATGAGATGTGCAATGACTGGGGCTCAAACCTGAGACTTTCAGGTCCCGGGTCGGCTGTCCTGCCTCTACTACATATGTGTCAAACTTAAGGCCCAGGGGCCGAATGTGGCCCTTGCTGACATCTTATCTGGCCCCCAAGATGATATTTTAAATGCAAAATACTTTTATCACTTTAATTTTTTCAATAATCTTTGGTTATGATGTCAAAATGCAACAGAGAATGTCAAATAAGACCAATCAAACTCTTGTTGAGGACCCTGCAACCAAGAAAAGATGTTTGGTATCTAACTTGAGTTAATGTAGATTCTGAAACCGGACCTTAGTTTGAAAAAAGTTTTTATTTTGGCCCCCTTTTGTGAGTGGGTTTGACACCCCTGCACTACATCTCGGCCCCCATGTGTTGGTTGATTTGGATTCGATGTGGCAGCTCTTCTTGAACTAGATTCACTCCAAAAATTAATCAAAAATTCACATCCAACCACTGTTTCCTGGAAACTTCAGGAAAATCCGTACAGTGGTTCATGAAATATTTTGCTAACAGACAGACAAATAGTTAATGACAAAATGTTATCTGTTAGCGCTCAGAACATATGCTACCAACATACACAGTTTTAGCTCAATATCTGCTAGAGTTACAGCCCCGTTTGTGTTTTTAAAGGTCAGTTGGCTGTGGCGGCCATTTTTAATCAGGTTGACTCAAACGATTAATCAGTTCAAGAGGCGAATTCATAATAATATAAATGATACTTATGTGTGTTTCTGAACTGGAAGTAACTGGATGAGAGGTTTAGTAACAGTTCCAATCACTTTCCCCCTCCTCAGTGTTCCAGCGGCAGGTTTATTCACCACCTTCAGCCTGAGCTGCAGCTCCTGCAGATCTTTGTGCCTCAGCTCCGTGAAGAAGAAATCCTCGTTGAACACGGGCCTCCAGCAGTTTCTGACGGTGGCGCTCTCCTGCTGCTGCAGCTTCCCTGGCGTCAGGCACAGACTCACGGTGCAGTTCAAGGCTTGTCGGTCAGCTTCATCATCGCTCAGCCCTTCCACACACACCAGGCGCACCCTGACTGTGCAGAAAGTGTTGCCTGAGAAGGCGGTTTGCTCGGCGGAGAGTCGAACCATGCCTCGTCCCTGCAAGGGGAGGACGTGTTCAAGCTGAAGTCTCTCCTGACACTGCAGGGTGTCCAACGGGAGGAGGACGGGTGGAGACAGGTTGAGGGAGTCTCTCTCTGTGGTTGGAGGGCTGTAGGGAGAGGCTAAACTGAAGCTGTTGAGTAATGAAGGACAGGATTTAGTTTCTTTAAGACAACCACTTCTCGTTGGACTACAGTTGGACGGTTTGATGCTGTAGGAGGAACAGAAAGGCAAAGATTCAGCAGAGGAAGGAGTTCCACCTTCTGCATTGCCTGTTTCTGAAAGGCTTTTGCATGAGAACAGTGGGAGAAACCCAGAAAATGTTTTCTTGGGTGGGGTTCTCTCTTTGGCTTCCCCTGATGCCATAGCAGCGATGCTTCTGTCAAACATGAACCCAGGAGCTTTTGAGTGGAACAAAGACTCCTTCCGTCGAGTGTTGGGGCTCTCATAAATCCCAGCCAGGCCATAACCCTCTGCAGAGAACGGCAGAGGTTTCTTTATCACCTTCCAAGGCTCTGAGGCATCCTCTTTCTTTGACTTCACGTCCTTCATCTTTGGTTGTGCGGCTGCTGAAGATGTGCTGCTCTTGGGGTTTTGACTGTTTGGGTTTGGTTGATCTTCTGGCGGTGGACTTCGCTTGCAAAGCCGCGGAGGCAGGCAGAAATTGGGGATGTTGTCCGGTGTGATGATGTTGCTGTGTACACTCTGAGAGAGGCTGCTGGTCTTGGGCTGAAAGAAGACGTCTTCACTGTTTCCCATGTAGCGATTCAGCTCCAAAGGGATGCTCTCCACGCGCTCCCTGATCTTCCCGATGACCCACATTGTTACTGTTTGACAAGTGCGATTATCATCCCTTCACACAAATCCAAAGTCACTTTAAAGCAAATGCAAAGAAAATGGTTCAGGTTAAATTAAACACATATTTTTATATACTGTAATTTTTTTAAATTTATTTCAATATAACATTTTCTCACCTGTGATGTGGCCTTTGCTGAGGAGATCTCTGCCTGACGCAAGTGCTGGTGTCAGGTTTTAAAGGTTAGTGCATGTTAGAACGTCACTGGTCTGCCTCCCCCGCCTGCATCAAAAAAATAAAAAATACACAAGCATACACAAGAATACACATCACATCCACTGAGTATTGAGCATCTCGTGTCCTTTAGAAACTGGGTGGGCGGCTCATCAGATCAGATGCACTCATGTGCATTTAGCTGTGATGGCAGCTCTCCAGGGTAAACTTTTTTTTGTTTCTTTGTTCATGTTTTATGTAAAATAATAAAGTCACAGCGTTGTGAATACACCGCTATATCATATTATGTCAATTGTGTTATTATAATGCAAGTTTAGGTAATAAAAAGGGCAGCATGAGGCTACATGAACCAGTTTTTCATGTCTAAACAGATGAGATGATGTGTGGAATCTGTGTAAATTGTATGCAAAGTTAAAAGGATTGAAACAAAATATTAGGTATATATTATGTAAAAATGACAGAGATTGAATGTGTTTTGAGCTCTTGTTCAAAGAGGATTCAGATAGCACACGCTGCCTCAAAGAGCCTCTAACCTTTAAACAACTGGAGACCAGACACACAGCTGACCGGAAATATTTAATCTACATTCTATTTGGCAATTTGTCTTTGTAAGTATTACAATATTTATTCAAAGTGTCACTCTGGACCACCCGTCTTTTGAATTTTAGACACTTTTCATAAAGAACACTATTATTTTATTTGAACACTGTGACATACTGGATTTGTTTTTAACAGTGAGGTATTTCATCCACAAGAGGGCACAACTGGATCAGATTAACACTTAAGCCAAATTCATGCTTGTGTTTACTCAAAATTTAGTGATATATAGAAATCTATTTGAAAAAGACCTGGAAACATTTTGGAAAATTACCATGAGGCATATGAAAATCTAAATTTCATATAAATTTATATTGGATTCTTCAATAACAAACACCCACACAAACATATAATTTGTGTTGGTTCTCACTTTTTAATAAGATAAAATTATTTGAATGAATCTAAACACAGATGTGTGTTTCTGTGTGAGAAGATGAATAATAAAAGTGATGAACATATTCAGTCCGGGACATCGGAGCTCCCAAGAGTCAGAGGGCTTTTTGTGGCACTAAAGCTCAACTTTATTACACCAATAAAAACTTAAAGTACTTTTTCTAATGGAGAGATAAGTGATTAGGAGTCAAAGAAGGACCTTGTCCTTAATTGCTGTCGCAGCTGCAATTAACTCTAACGAGAAAACAGTACGTTGTAGCCAAGTGTTAAGTTCTTCATTTTAAAATGATAAGGACAATTTTCCCTGAGTTTTGTTGTGTTCGTTGAACCAATTTTAATTTTTTTAATTAGTTGAAATGTAAGGAGAAGGACCAGCTGGATAAATAGCTGATTTAAAGAACATATGCAGGTGCTTTTACCAGGGTAACAAAACAAATGCTCACTTCTTTAAAATTGATGAAAAACTAGACAAATTTTTGATATCTACTATCTCATTCTAAACCTTCTTTCATTCAATCAGACTGGATACAAGAACACTTTGACTTCCATATGTCGAATTATACTACTGCTTCTTAACATTTGAGAGCACATACATACATACATACATACATACATACATACATACATACATACATACAT